TGAAATAGAGATGGGTACGAAAAAGAAAAGGAAGAAAGAAGTAATGAATGGTTAGTAGTAATCCTAAACAGACTGACCCAGCCAAGAATACATATACACACACAAACACACACACACACACACACACACATATATATATATATATATATATATATATATATATATATATATATATATATATATATATATATATATATATATATATATATATAATAATAATAATAATAATGCCCATTTTGGCCGAAACCAGTCGAGGAATCTAAATGAAATAATATTAAAAAAAAAAAAAACGAAATATTAATCTACAGCCCAGTGTATCTGAAGATTTTAATTTTTTAATATTTTTTATTGTTCAATATATATATATATATATATATATATATATATATATATATATATGTGTGTGTGTGTGTGTGTGTGTGTGTGTGTGTTTGTTTGAATGTATGTGTGTATGTGTATGCGTGTTTTAAAAATAGTTTTTAGATATGCTACACTTATGTGATCAATATCATGGATAGAGAGTATATAAATATAAGAGTTGACAATTGCGGGTGGCGAGCCAAGGTTGAAGGCAATCTTCAGGCTATGCGTTATATATATATATATATATATATATATATATATATATATATATATATATATATTGGTGGGGCGGTGAGGAATATGTGGGCTTGAACACCGAACGACTGGCGACTGTTTATACATACACAAATACCTGACACTGTCTCTTTGTTTATCGCCAAAGACGACTACCAGATGAACGTCCTCGCAAGATTAAGGGGGGGAAAAGTAGATTCGATTTTAATTAGTTCGTTTTTCTAACCTAAGGATACACGTCGTAGGGAGAGAGTGCCGTGGATATAGAGATCAAAAGAATGTGCTTTTGTTAAATGCCAGGGATCTGGGCGGTTACCTGATTTATTCTATTGATAACAGCAATATTATTTGAGGCGTTCTTAACTTTATTTTAGGTTATTTAAAAATAAACAAACGGAATAAAAAGAAAATGGCGAATAGGAAAGCTTTCATCAGATAAATATGTCAGAGCGGAATTTCATTTATTAAGTGACGTGAACTGTTGATCCAACTTACAAGCAGATTTCCTGTGATACAACTTTAAATTCTCTTCTTCTTCTTTTTTTTCTTCTTCTTCTTCTTCTTCTTCTTCTTCTTCTTCTTCTTCTTCTTCTTCTTCTTCTTCTTCGTTGTCGTCTTCTTTTTCTTATTCTCCGCCGTCTTCTTTTCCTTTGTCGTCTTCTTCTTCATTGTCGTTCTCTTTTTCTTTGTATTCGTTTTCCTCTTCTTTTTCATTCTTCTTCTTTATCTTTTTCTTCTTCTTTTTCTTCTTCTTCGTCGTCGTCATTTCTTCTTCTTCTTCTTCTTCTTCTTCTTCTTCTTCTTCTTCTTCTTCTTCTTCTTCTTCTTCTACTGCTGCTGCTGCTTTATCGCCGTTGTCTTTCTCTTCTCTATAGATTTATTTTTTCTGCTTCCTCTTCGTCCTTTTTGTCTTCTTTTTTTCTTTGTTGTCGTCTTCTTCTTTTTCTTCTTGTTCTTCTTCTTCGTCCTCTTCTGCTTCCTTTTCTTTTTCTTCTGCGTCGTTAACTTCTTTTCCTCCTTCGTTGTCTTCTTCATTTTCTTCTTCATTGTCGTCCTCTTATTCTTCGTATTCTTCTTTCTTTTCTTTTTCTCCTTCGTCGTCGTCATTTTTTCTTCTTCGTTGTCATCTACTGTGTCTTCTTCCTTTTTTCCCTTCGTCTTCTTCATCCTTTTCTTCATCCTCTTCTTCTTCTTCTTCTTTTTCTTCTTCTTCTTGCGAACATGTCTGTCCTCAACTTCTTGTCATTTGTTTATCTGAGTAACTTTTGTCCTTTTATTATATCAATGTGTTTCCATGTTCCGCCCTCCATTTTCGCAAACCCGTTAAGTAGGTTAATCACTGTTTCTCTCTTCTTCTTTCTTTCCTTCTTCTTCTTTCTTTTCTCTCTTCTTCTTCTTTCTTTTCTCGCTTCTTCTTCTTTCCTTTCTCGCTTCTTCTTCTTTCTTTTCTCTCTTCTTCTTCTTCTTTCTTTTCTCGCTTCTTCTTCTTTCTTTTCTCTCTTCTTCTTCTTCTTGTTCTTGTTGTTCTTCTTCTTTTTCTTTTCTCTCTTCATTCTTGTCTCTCTTCGTCTTCTTTCTTTTCTCTCTTCTTCTTCTTCTTTCTTTTTTCTCTTCTTCTTTCTTTTCTCACTTCTTCTTCTTCTTTTCTCTCTTCTTCTTTCTTTTCTCTCTTCGTCTTCTTCTTTCTTTTCTCTCTCCGTCTTCCTCTTTCTTTTCTCTCTTCGTCTTCTTCTTTCTTTTCTCTCTTCTTCTTTTTTTGCCTTAAGTAGGCATATTTTTTCTAGGTCCTCTTTCCTCATAATGTATCCCTGAAATTTCAACTGTCTTTTTCCGATTCTTAATGTCCACTTACTTGTAGCTTTTATTCTCCTTAGAACTTCCCCATAGCTCACATATCATGTGCACGGTATTTTCAGCATCATTCTACCGACCAACACCCTCCATGCCTCTTCTTCATCTGCGTGAAAATTGTCCAACATTCGCTGCCATATAGAAAAATTATACAGAAGTTCAGCCCATTTTTCTTTGTTTCGTGAGATCGCAATTAAAACGACAGTTTTGCTGCAAGTCAAATCGTGTCTTCAAGTTACAAATGCGGTGCAGCAAAAAACAGGAAGTTGATCAGGACGTTCTTTGATAGCGTTGCACTATCTATTATTTCGCTCGAAACATTTTTGCTCGATAGATGGTTGCGTCTGGAAGGAAAATATCAGACGCTAATTAATACTGGCAGAAGACAGATAAAGAGACCCGATATACCTGTACTGAATAAGGTAAGCTAGATAGAATAACTCATGGTAATCTTGGACCTATACAAATGGTTAGAGATATCGCCGTGTTCACACACACACAAATGCATTCTTAACGACAACCACGTTTTTGCTGAGTCTCAGGTTCACTCCAGACCTCAAGTAGAATAATAATAATAATAATACTGGTGTCAGACGCCTTCGAATAAAACTCATACTAATAGTACTCGCTCGAAAATTAACCACCGAATCTGTATAGTGATCAGTATAGAGTAATAGTATAGAGAATAGAGATCCGTATAGGACGGTGGCGTAATGGATAGTGGCTCGGATTGAGGAATCGCAAAGCCGAGTTCGAATTCTAATCGCATCCATTACATTCACTTACGTGCTAATACCCTTGGGAAAGGTATGAATCCTCTTCTTCTCCCTCCAGCTATGGGTAAATAACAGGACACACTGGGTTCTATAGCCTTGGCTGGCAACTGGTCTACCGCAGAAAAAATGGCAACCTACTGCGGGGAAAAAATCTGCCGTCAGTCATGTATCGAAATATACATGATCGCCTATACAACTGAAGTAGATTTTAGATGAAATCGGAAACTCCATCCTAAAAATGAAACAAAAAACCAGGGGGTGGGTGGGGGGTAGACGTTATAAGTGTACAGTTGAAGTAGATTTCAGAAGGAACCGGAAACTCAATCCTAAAAATGAAACAGGGTATAAAACTCTACTCCTGTTCCAAAGATCGGGGAAGAAAGGTTAGAAGTATAGAAATGAATTAGACTTTAGAAGGAACAGGAAATCCAATCCTAAGCAGATAACAAAGGATACACTTCTATTCGTGTTCAAAAGACGGGAGAGGAGTGTGAACCGGACGATAGGCGAACCTATTTACTATTAAAGAAAAAAAGGTAACAAATATTAAATAAAAGTTCAGAGTTTAAAGCGGAGACGTTAGAAGTATGGAATGGAAGTAATCTTTAGAAAGAACCTGAAACCCAATCCTAAACAGGAAAAAAGGTTTAAAACTGCACTTATTTTCAACTACAGTGGGCGACGTACTCACCATAGAAATTTTTCTTAGCCTTATCTATAATTGTAGAAATTACTCACTGAACACATGTCTCGCAGAAGACATCCCCGAGGTGTTCTCGACTAGAGACTTTTAAACATGTCTCGAATTTCGATTCATAGCCAACACAGACCCACAAGAAGTACACACACAAGAAGTACTAGGTTTGATAAAAAAAAAATCCGATTTTTCTTTGATGGCATTAGCAGCTTTTATTCTAAATGTGAGTTGGCCAAACATTTGAAAGACCATGACCACATAATTTATGACTCATGGAGATAATTTTAAAATAATTTTGAATACTGATCAGAAGAAAGTTAATTCAAAATTTAATTGGGATTTCAAATGTAACTCAAGAAGCTACCTGTAGCCTATGTCTAGCAACACAGTAATATTTGATTAGCAAACAAGTGAATATTAAATAGGGGATTAGTTCAGTTTTACAACAATCTAATAACAACATCTCCAACTTTTACTTTCACACATAAGCAAACATATATATATGTGTGTGTGTGTGTGTGCGTGCGTTCTTAGTTCTTGCCGACGCGTTTCGTCTTCCGACTTTATCAAGGCAAGCAATGATAGCGAAATGTTTTGTAGTCATTGTCACATCAAATCCCAAATTTTAAAAAGAAACGCTCTTGCGTCAGCCTCTTTCTGGATATTGGTAACTTCCGTTTGTTTTATTTTATTTTCCATGTCGACAATATAGTTAGATTTCCCAGAAATAATTCCGAAAATAAAAACAAATTGGTTGTAAAGAACGTCTTTATTTTCAGAATAATTTGTGGGAGATTTAACTCTCTCTCTCTCTCTCTCTCTCTCTATATATATATATATATATATATATATATATATATATATATATAAAAGAAATATGTTGTAGTGGTTCCAACGAGAGAAAAGTATGTATATTAAAAAGAAGAGGGGTGCCGCAAACGTTTTTGGTTGTAATGTGGATTTATTGAGAAAAAATATTATACTTTGTTTTACATAATTTCACGACACGTGTTTCTGGTCTGGTCTCGCAACCGTCTTCAGGTGAAAGTGAAGATTTTTACATATTATTAAAAATAATTAATTTTTCTTCATGTTCAATGTGGAATATTCTCGATATGAGACATTCTGTTTGTGTGTTGGCAATCCGAATTTTCTTTCTAGAATTGTCAATGAAGAGTTCTGCGTGAAGGGTCATAAAACAATTAAGGTTTGTCCAGCGAGTAGTTATCGGCATTTAATCTTTTAATGTTTTAGTGACCTCTATGTGCTCTTGGATCTGTTTCTATTTTGGCGTGTTCCTGTCAGCATGCGTGTATATATGCCTATATATATATATATATATATATATATATATCATTTGTGAGAGATTTAACTATACACACACACACACACACACACACACACACATATATATATATATATATATATATATATATATATATATATATATATATAAGAATATTAAAAAGTATTAGCTCAGACCAGAGTCAAACCAATGGACGGATATTTTAAGATAGTGCTCAATGCACAATTCCCAAAAATTGAACGTGCAGAGCAGATAATAATGCAATGATATATAACAATAACAATAATAATAATAATAATATATATATATATATATATATATATATATATATATTATTATTATTATTATTATTATTATTATTGTTATTATTATATATAACCGAGTTCCAATTCCAGTTGGGTTCGTTATATTCACTTACGTTCAAATACCCACCTCTTTTCCTGTCATTTCTGATCTAATTAGTAGGATTTGTATCACTAAATCATAATTTTCCTCGCAAAATTCTTACAATCTAAAAAATATTTCTGGCTTTAAATAACCTGAAAAAGGCTGATAAGACATAAAAAAACAAATCTGTCAATGAATGCTCCCTTTCTATTTTTGTACATTTATGCAGCCGGTTTGCTCTCAGTATAAGTTGTGGATTATTCTAATCTCCCCCCTGCTCAAACATATCAAGCTTAACTAACACAACCAACCGATCTTTGCAGCGCTATTAAATGTTGAAAGTAACTACTTTTGACTTTGCGCGTTACTTTTTAAAATAAGCTGGGCTAAGTTGGTAGATTGATAAGAAGAAAGTCAATTCAAAAATGGATTGCGTTGGATTTTTATAAATCCCCAATTTGGCAAATTGGAAATGAGTTCAACTCTCACCAATTGCCCCAAAAATGAATCTTTGTATCAAAGTTGGTTTTGCTAAGCAAATACATTCAGTACCAAAGGATGTTTATTTACATCTTCATTGCTTTACTTGTTAAATACTAAAAAACAATAATCATGAAGTTTCCCCCTTTTGATGTTCGCTCTTTGTCTACATGTTATCCTCTGTTCAAAGATATTTTCTCCACTGTTCTAATTTTGACCTAGACACACACCAAAGAAAACATAGCTGGTTCTGAATGGAATAGTCATATACATAGTATTTTACATTTTAAAAAAATTTCAAAAGAGTTTTTTTGATTTTCACATAATACCATCACTTTTAGTACAGTTATTTATATCACTTGATCAATAGCCAGGAGCTGTTGTTTGCTTGAAGAACTCGTTTTTGACTCAACTAGTACAATATTATACCCTATGGCTATTTGAATATGTTACAACAGGTGTGGGCAAGCCTCTTAAAAGCAATGTAGACGCTAACAAGATTTAGAAACAATTTAAGTGTTTTTATCTAGAATGTCATAACTTCAGCGCACTTATTCATTTTTAATGAATTTCATCCGCTTGCAGAACCGAGGTGAAAAGTAGGGAATTTTCCCACAGGCAACTGGTTTTACAAAACCGTGAAATTCTGAACAGCTTTTCGCAATCAGCTGGCAGCTTACCAAAAGTCTCTGAGTGTAAAGTCAGAAAAAAAAAGTGGTTCTTACTGGAAATCATTTGGTAGAAGTTAAGTTCTTTGATTCTATCGTTCTATTCGCTAATATGCGTGTGTGACTGTCGGATTTGATGTCTACTGGTATAATAGTATGCCATAAAACAGTATGTCATATAACAGTATGCCATAAATAGTAAGCCATATAACAGTATGCCATATAACAGTATGCCATATAACAGTATGCATTATAACAGTATGTCATATAACAGTATGCCATATAATAATATGCTATATAACAGTATGCCATATAACAGTATACCATATAATACTATGCCATATAACAGTATGCCATATAATAGTATGCCATATAACATATGCCATATAACAGTATGCCATATAATAGTATGCCAATATAATAATATGCCATATAATAGTATGCCATATAATAATATGCCATATAATAGTATGCCATATAACAGTATGCCATATAATAGTATGCTATATAACAGTATGCATTATAACAGTATGTCATATAACAGTATGCCATATAATAATATGCCAAATAACAGTATGCCATATAACAGTATACCATATAATAC